ACCCAGAGCCCATATCCCCATCACCTCTTTTATTGGCTTTCACATTCAGGGCTGCTGTCCCCCGACCCTGGTCACCCCAGGGCCAGAGAGCCCCTCCAGCCCAGAGCCTACTGAGATGATGTCAACTAGCCAACCCTAAGCTGATCGACTCCCCTCACCTCTTCCTTCCCTCGGGAACCACAATGGAGTCTCTTATCCACATCTTCCCCTTCTCCTCTGTCTCAGGACCAACACTGGTGCTTCCCTACGTGATCCTGCCTGGCACGGCATACCCTCTTCTCCGGGGAACTGTGAGTCACCAGCTGTCCTCAATGACACTTGTCTCCTGGTCTGTGGGCCTCATCATGCCTGAGTAATAATAAAACCCACATTTAAAAACACTGACCCAGGCCTGGGGGTTCAAGGAGGGTTCCTTGGAGGAAGTGGCATCAACAATGAGCCTTCAGGGAGTGGGCTGGGGAGACCAGATGATGGGGCAGGGGCGGGTGTCCCCGGTAGAGGGGTCAGGATCTACTAAAGAAATGACCATGTGCCTCATTGCACCGTAAGGAATGGGGATGGGGGAAGGAGCTTTGTCTAGCCCCACCTCGCTGATCTCCACGTTGTGTTCCCCACTCCTAATAAACCCAAAAGATGTGAATTGTCTGTATTCTGCCCTTGATGCTCCAGCCGAGGGGACGCAGGATCCCGGCCATGTGCAGCAGCCTGGGGAGGGGCCACAAGCCCGCTGAGGGAAACATGAAGACCAGGCAGAGCGGAGCCCCTCACTCACACCCGCCTAACACTGAGCCCCCCGGGGAGCCCCACGGCCATTCCCAGCTACTGGACCAACAGCAAGGTTTCGTCACCCATAAACACAGGAGCAGAGCCAGCCTGGGCTCAGGGCAGGGCTGCCGACCAGTCTAAGAATGGAATGGCTGTGAGGACCCCTGTGGGCACGGGGGCCTCACTTCCTTCCCTGTGCCTTCTCTGCCCACCGCTGTCTGATGGGCCTCCTTACGCAGGAAGCTGCCGGCCGGAGGGAGGCTAAGGACCTTGCAGGCACGGAAGAGCCGAGGGCCCGTCCCGGCTGCCCCATCTCCCGGCCATGTGGCTCCATCAAATCCCCAGGTTTTTAACCTCCCGGAGCCTCTGCTTCCTCCTTGTAAAACAGAGGTAACAACAAGCCCTTATTCACCAGATTGTTTCAAGGTCAGAGAGCGCAAACCCCAGGGAAGCCCCAGCGTCTCGAATGTAAGAGCCTTTTCCTCCTGCCGACCCTTCCCTGCCCTGCCCGTGCGCACACCTGCACCCTGCCCTTGCCGGAACACCCACCCCGCCCTGTTCCATTTTTCAAGTGGAATGTCCTGGAAAGCGGAGAGGCTTGGCTAGAAAACCTGAGCATCCTACCAGGGCCGACATTAAGGGAGAGAAGCACCGTCAGGGACCCTGAGCCCCCACTCGGGCCGGTCACCTTGTCACCTGTCCCACGCACAGCACGGATCACTTCTCTCCGTGCCTGGAGGGGTGGGGGGCGGGGTGCTCCTGGTGTGGCCTTGGGTCAGACCTCACACCTCACACCTACGGGGCTGACCCCCAAACTTGAAAGGAAAACAGCCTTCCTCCGCCGAGTGCCCCCATCCCAGTCACAGTGACCACCTCCCTCCTCTCCATCTCCTTCCCCACCCACTCTGTCTTCATGAGTAAACTTAGTATCTCAGTCACGTCCTCTGTAACTTGAGAGCCCTAAGGAAATGCTGAGCCAGAAAAAAAGAAAAAAAAAATGATGTTCAAACTTCAGGATTTTAACTGACTTGGCAAACTGAATTTCTAGAAGCCGCTGAGAATCTCGGAGGTTGTCACGCCGGCAGCTGGGGAGCTGGGGTGGGGGTCGGGTGCTCCCTTTCCGTGCTCTTCCCACTCATTCAGCACCTGAAATAGTCCTCAGCAGCCCTCACGTGCGTGACCGTCTGCAAACACGGGTGGCATTCTAGAAAGTGAACGCAGGACCAAAAGCAGCTGATCTCAACCCACAGGGGTTCCCAAGGCCGGCACTCTGCGGGTAGGTCTCGTGAGGGAGCCTGGCACCCCGGCGGGCCTGAAGCTAAGGTGGGGGCTGGGCGTCCTTTCAGATAGCTAGGAAGCCCAGAGACAGACCGACGCCTGGAAGGTTATCTACTGAGTATGTGTGTGCATTGAGTGTGGATGGGGGAGGCTGTGTATTTTAGTACAACCATAGGGAAGGCCTATTTGGCCTTTGGTTTCCCAAACTTTAAAAATGTGTATAATCTTCCAGAAGGAGAAAAGCCCGTTATGATGCCCGGGAGCTGGCCTGGCACGCCTGCGAGGCCTTGCTGTTCTCCTGCGGATCACGACCGGTTTTGCCGAAAATCGGTGTCACAGTGGCCACACTGTGATGGAACAGGAGAAAACAGGCCCATCCCAGAGTCAGTCTGGACACACACAGAACCTGAACATCACAAACCACAGAAAGGACCAAACAGCCTTCCACCCTGGCTAACATATACCAGCAACTACTGCTTCTCTACCAGCAGGTTTGACCTTGGTCTAGATGAGAAGTGCTGAGATGCCCCACCTGAGAACGGCCTGCCCCGAGAGCATCCAGCACGGACCAAAGCCCTGCTTCCTTCTGTCTTCCCCGAAGCCGCGGACTCAAGCCCGGCCCCACGGCTCCCCCTGGCGGCTGTCCTCCCTCACTGCAACGAGCCGCACCGCCAGTTTGCTCAGCACACGTGTTCCTGGTGGCCTTTGGCTGGAGTAGTGACAGCCGTCGCCCAGGTTATCCGCTTTAAAAATTCAGCCCAAGGAAAACTCGTGTTCATAAGTGCATGCACGTAAGGAAACTCAACGGAATGCGCCTGCATATAATGACCGCAAACCATTGGTCTCTGTGTAAATGTCCATCAGCGGGCGGCTGCTTACACGCATTTTGTGACCATGAAACACACGCAGTCATTCAACATGATGACAATAAGGTGTATTTATTGACAGAAAAGTCTGCATCACATGATGGTTACATTCTAGTATCATGAAAAAAGGGTTTATAAAACGGTGCACAGGGGCATTGCAGAACTCCAACTAATCCTGCCTTTATAAAGATACATATTTCATACACTGAGGAAAAAGTATAGAAAAATCAATATAAAAACATTCACAGTTATTATTTCTTGGTTTGGGGATTATGGTTTTTTTTTTCTTACCTGCATCTCTAGACTTTTTAGCAGTGGAAAAAAAATTTTTTTTTGAAGATTTATTTGAAAGAGAATGTGTACACACGAGTGGGGTGGCGGGGAGAGAGACAGAGGGAGGGTGAGAGAGAGAGAGAGAGAAAGAGAATCTCAAGCAGACCCAGCACCGAGTGCAGAGCCTGACGTGGGGCTCGATCCCATGACCTTGAGATCATGACCTGAGCCAAAATCGAGAGTGGGCTGCTCAACGGACTGAGCCACCTGGGCGCCCCTGGGAATGTTTTACTTAGGTAATAAGAAAAAGAGGAACTTTCAAGAGCTAGGGGCCGGGCTGTTCTGAGAACACAGCCGAGATCAGAATTTGGGGTGAGCATGGAGGAGGGGTTTGGTCTGGACAAGGGTGCATTGGGGTGAGGGGACACAGCTGTGCCCCAAGGAGGGGAGACGGGACCCAGTAGAGGTGGCTGGGCACACAGCTGTGCCCCAAGGAGGGGAGACGGGACCCAGTAGAGGTGGCTGGGCA